TGAGAGGTTTGACCGAGAGTTGACTTTATTAATATCGGGTTCAGATTATGATTCTGGGAGCTCGTATAGCTCCGTTGTGTCATTTGGAACTTGCATGCAAAAATTTGAGCTCATTCGAAATTGGTTTGATATGTTTCGACATTAGTTTTAGAAGTTGGAAGCTCATCAGTTCATTAGGCTTGAATCAATGTGCGATTCGTGATTTTGGTATTGTTCGATGTGATTTGAGGCTTCGAGCAAGTATGTATTGTGTTTTGGGACTGGTTAGTGTGTTTGGATGGGTTCCCAGGGTCCTCGGGTTTATTTCGAATGGGCTACGGGCCATTCATCCTTGTTTTGAATTTGCTGTCAGTTGTTATATGATGTTCTTCATCGCGACCGCGATGGAGCAACCGCATTTGCGTAGAGATTTCTCGGGAGGCAGGCATTTTGTTCTTCGTGGTCGCGAAGTGGTGACCTCGTTCGCAAAGCTTGGGAGACTTATGACATCGCGTTCGCGTTCTATGATACACGATCGCATATAAGGAAAGTTGGAAGGGGCATCGGGTCTTTGTTATCCGCGATTGTGTGAATGACACCGCATTCGTGTAGTGAGGTGGAGGTTATGAGTCGCGTTCTCAACTTTTATTTTCGCATTCGCGAAGAACATTTGGTCAGCTATTGATTTTCTGTCTCCGTGATCGCGAAGGTAATTCCGCGATCGCAATGAGTAAATATCTCGGCAGAATATAAAAGTACTCTATTCCGAGGGTTATGATATTTTTATCACTTTTTGGGTTAGAGAGCTCAATTTTTGGAGGAAAATTTCACCATTTGAATTGGGGTAAATATTCTTGACCCATATTTGGTTATATTTCATGATTCCATCTTTGTTTTTATCATTTAATTATTGATTTGAATTGGAGAAATTGGGGATTTTTTAAAATACTTTCTCAATTGCAAAATGATGATTTGAAGGCCGATTTGATGTCGAAATTGGATAATTTTTGCTTGGTTGGAATCGTATCGGAATGGGTGCGGATTTTGTGAGTTTTGTCGGGTTCCAAGGTGCGGGCCCGGGGTTGACTGTTTGGTTTTCATTAAAGATCAAAGTTTTTTTATCCAGAATTGTTTCTTATGGCTTTTATTAATGATATTAAGTTATTTTGGCTAGATTCGAGCCGTCCGGAGGTTGTTTCACACGAAAAGGTCATTTTAGAGTATTGATTTAGCCTCTTTGAGGTAAGTATCTTGCCTACCTTTGTGTGGGGGAACTACTCCTTAGGATTTGGGATTTATTGTATTATTTGAATTATGTGAAAGGCGTGCATGTGAGGTGACGAGTGCGTACTCGGACTTAAATGTAGAAATTGATGATTAGACTCTTAGGCTTCTTTTATGTATTTATTTATAGTTGTAAGCACATGTTATATCTTTTATTTGTCAAGTTTGCTCGCACATGCTTTATTTGAAGTTGTTAGCATATGTCAATCTTTTATTTGAAATTTCAACGTCTGGTGCAGGGTCGAGGGTACCGCCCTCATATTATGAACCCATGGCCTTCCGAATAGAGGGTTATACCTCATGTCCCCCTCGATCACGTAGAACTTTGTTTCTTGGATTGTCCCGGCGGTGTTTACTGGCAAGGTTATCTCTCTTTTAGTGGTCTCACATGCCATGTGTAACTCGTTCAATACCCGGACTGCTGGCACGATTTGGTCCTGCAATCCAATTGCTCTACGACCCTTGATCTGATAATGTTGGCTGAGCTACCTGAATCAATCAGCACACACTTAACTCGAGATTCATTAATAAGTACGGATATTACCAGTGCATTGTTGTGAGGTTGTATGATGCCCTCGGCGTCTTCATCGCTAAACAAAATGGCTCCCTCCGAAACATAATCCATGGGTGTGTTTTTCCCTTGTGATAGATACTTTAATGCGCTTTATCATTGGTCCTTGGGGGACATCGACGCCTCCGATGATCATGTTGATCACGTGTTGAGGCTCCTCTTGTTCGACCTGTTCGTTGGCGTCCCTGTTCCTAAAGTGGTTTTTGGCTCGATCACTCAGAAATTCTCGGAGGTACCTTTGTTGGATAACGGGACAACTTATTCTCTTAGCTGTCGGCAATCTTCGGTTCTGTGACCGTAACTGCCGTGATATTTACACATCAAATTGGGATCTCTCTGGGTAGTATCGGATTGCAAAGGTCGGGGCCACTTGGTCTCTTTAATGCGTCCTATGGATGACACGATGCTGGCAGCGTCCATGTTGAAGTCGTATTTCGACAATCTCGGTGCTTCCTTGCTCCCAAGCAGCCTATCGAACCCATTTTGGCTCATTAGGCCTCGGCCACCGGGACCTCGATCGCTTCTCTTCTCGTTTTTTGCGGGATGACGCCAGGATCCATTTCCTCTTCGATCTGCGTTGTATGGTTGATACCGATCTCGGACCGGTCTTGTCTCTTGATCAATGGCCCTCTTAGATCTATCGTCAGCTCTAATAGGGTAAACAAATCCAGAAGGGGCCCCGAGTTGGTCGTCCTCGACCCTGATCTTTGACTGGTACCTGTTGTGGACGTCGGCCCAGGTTACCGCCAGGTACTCCACCAAATTTTATTTTAGCTGTTGAGAGGCCAAGGAACTTCGGGGGTTAAGCCCCTGAGTCAATCCCTGAACGGCCCAATCATCTACAACCGGAGGTAGATCCATTTGTTTCATCTGGAATCTTGACACGAACTCCTTGAGCATCTCATTGTCCTTCTGTTTGACCTTGAAAAGGTCTAACTTTCTGGTCTCGACTTTGATGGCCCCGACATGGGCTTTTATGAAGCATCTGCAAGCATAGCAAACGAATCAATGGAATTTGGGGACAAGTTGTGATAACATATCATTGCTCCCTTGGACAAAATCTCCCTAAACTTCTTCAGTAATACCGACTTGATCTCATTGTCTTCCAGATCGTTCCCCTTGATTGCGCATGTGTAAGAGGTCACGTGCTCATTTGGATCTGTGGTCCCATTATATTTGGGGATGTCAGGCATACAGAACCTCTTTGGGATCGGCTTTGGTGTCGCGCTCGGAGGAAAAGGCTTCTGGATAATTTTCTTGGAGTCCGGTCCTTTCGATATCGGGGGTGCCCCCGGGATCTGATCGACCCTGGAGTTTTATGTTTCCACCTTCTTGTCATTAGCCTCAATCTTTTTCTCACCCGACTCCACTCGTCTAGTCAACTCTTTGAGCATCTTCAACACCTCGAGATTTACCCCGCGCTCGGCTTCACCCAGTATCTCGATGATTTCCTCATCTCTTCAAGTACTTTCCCGGGATCGTTCGAGCTCGACCTTGCTGGGGGCATGGCTTTTATTCTGCAACTGCGCTATTGCCGCCTGGTGAGCCTGCAACATTTCGAAGATTAGCCGTAGGCTTACCCCATCACCTTCGCCTTCGGGCGCTTCTCGAGTTGTTGGTCGCGGTCCACCGCGAACACTGTTTTCGGGATCAGTTGGCAAATTGATGCTGATGGACACCTGCGAGTTAGCATCAACCGGATCGGCAACTGGGACACTGATGGGATCGGCTGGAGGCACATTGTCACTGGCACCAAATTATTATTTTCGACGTGATGGCCAGACTCAGCATCAACGTTCAAGTGAGCAGACTGAGAGTTTGACATTTTTGGGTTGACCTGAAATTAAGACTTCAAAGAACAAGTGTAAAATATGGTGTGTGATGGAGATTCGTATCAAATCACCACTATTATCCTTAGCCTCTCTGTGGGCGCCAAATTATTTACCCCAAAATTGGGTAACAATTAAATTTGTACGCGGTTTTAAGGATATGTGGTTTGATTTAACACGAATAATTAATAATATCAAATAGATGAGTTAGAGATGAAATAAACGCTCAAACCAATTGCAACATTACGGCCAAGCCTGAACTTAGACTGACCAATGACCTCGTCCTCTGCTGGACCCTTGGTTCAAGCCCAGTCGTGAATGAAAAACAGAACAAATGAGAAAAGCTTTAACAACAGCTAAAAGGCAGAAAATAAACTTGTATTGCTTTGATTTGCATGTTATAGTGTATGTTACAAAAGAAAAGCTTCTCCTTTATATAGTAGGAGAGTTCCATCCTAGTATAAGTCTAACAAAGGTAAAAATCTTCCATTCCCGGTAATTACTGATCCATAATCGACATCAAGCGAGATCGACGTCCTGATGCCCGGTTGAGTGCGCACGGCCCTCTATCCATCATGCCTCTATCCGTCATGCATAACCATTCACCGTGTCTCCCGAGGTCATAGAACTCATTCTTGGCCCGGGACGCGTCGCTTTACCATACCCGATGACGGGCACATCGTTCACCCTTCCTAGATTTCGATACGAAGGGTCTCATGCATCCACACTCTCCCTCCGTTTTCTCATCGGGAAATCAGGGTATGCATTACCCCCAATTTTACCCGTACACAGTTAATTTGAAACATTTTAGTGACTCTCTATAGAGATTCTGTTTTTCTTTTCTGAAATCTCTTTGTCAACATTTATTAATTAATCTCTTTGTCAATATTTATTAATACCATACTCTTTTTGTGCCTTAACGAAATGCTAATTTTGCTTATATGTTCGTAGATGAGAGGGAGCAAATCAGACCACAACAAATAGAACAAACTAGTGCAGCTCTATCGTTATAAGTTATAACCAACGAGAAGCACCAAGACGAGGGATGGCATATACACGTCGCAATAAAAATCTCCAATGCGTCAAAGAACAATGCAACACTACTCTGAAAAGTTAAAATTATGTTTATAACTTGTTCGGTAAAATTCTACAACCTCAATATGTTTCATAACTTATTATTTATAACGAATTTTCACTTGCAGTGTCTTTTGAAGCGTACCTCGTTAAAATATCACATTTTGTTTTCATTTTTAGAGTGCTACCTCTAGTACCTGTCTTCATGATTTAACTTCCTATATTCATCCATCAAATATCTAGAACTAGAACAAGAAAGGAAATGCAAAAAAGAAAAAAAGAATTGTCACATTGTAATAACAACTAAGCTGAACTTCTGGAACAATTGGAAAAGAGAATTCTCTATACAAGCACAAGAGTTCGTAAAAAAAAAAAAAGGAATTCGTAAAACATTGGCTCACCTTCAACTCACTATTACGTCCATCATCTTTCTAAGTAAGAATCGTGTGAGAATTTGTGTTTTCAGGGAGCAATAAGACACATCAACTAAAATGTCAATGTTGAGCATGCGGCGATATGACCAGCTTGAAGTGTGCATATATTTCCTGAAAGAAGAAATTGTACCAAGCCAGAGTTATTTAACAAAATTAGTTCTGATTCATGTTGGAGAAAGATATGAAGGAAGAAGCAGATTAGCCTACCAATTTCATCTCAGTATAGCCTCAAGTAACCTCCCTTTTCATTTCTTTCCCTAACTCCTGTACTTCTTCTAAGGAAGGATCTCCGGTTGAGAGACCAACTTCTTTTCATGTCTCGCCTTCTCTTCCAAGCTACTACGTGACTATAAAGCGCGGGAAAAAGGAAGCAAAGGAGAACCAACAGCAGCAGAACCACACAGAGCAACATAACATTGCGGAACCCCTCCTTCAACTCAGGTTCTCTTTGATTGGTCCAAGGAACTCCTCCAACATTCATCCCAAACACTGTAGCATACCAGACAAATAAGTGATCTCAGATGCCTTCTCAAACTACTAAATGATAAAACATGACTTGGAATTATGAAAGAAGTTCATTAAGAAGTTCACCTCCGGTTACTACTGACAAGGGAAGAAAGACGATGGAGAGGAAGGAAAGGTAGTAAAGTTTTTTATTTATCTGCTCAGACTGCCAACTGTCAAGACCTGCCTGAATTGCTGTTACACGATTGGCAATAAACCCAACATTCTCCTTTAGTCTTCTCAGTCGACCAATTAACTCTTCAAGTGAATTGATGTCATCGCTGGCAAACCAACCTTTTGAAGAACATTTCTCCTTCACTCGCGGAAATACTTGCTCACCATGTGCAATCACCTGCAACAAGAGTGATTAAGATCAAATCTATCTCTAGAATCTAAATACATCTGAAATCTTACGAAAAGGAGAATTTGTAGATATAGTATAAGGAAACTGCTATTTATACGACCAAAATGGGCAAGGTATTCTCAATAAACTATTGCTTTGGGGACTAAATTTAGAAAACGACAAGAAAGCCAGGAAAAGTGCGAAGATAACAGCTCAGGCTTGGTAACCAACAGAAGTCCTTGGCTCATTGAAAGATGCTGGTGTCATGTGTTAAACATATGTATATATTGATGATGGAAATAATGTACTTTAGGCTGGTTGTGCAGCTTGTGGAGGTTACCAGGCTCTTTTTTTTTTTTTTTTTGTTTTTTTGACCAGGAAAAGGACAAACTAAACCTAAGCCAGCACCCTTTCAGGAAGCCAATCCAGCCTATTTGTTTGTGCTTGTCAATCTTTATGTCGACTAACATTTCCCCTTAATCCATTCACTGCACAGTTTTCCCCTTACACTTCGTAGCTTTACCCTCCTCTAAATGGTCATAGAAGTTCCCTCTATGAACTCGCTCTGCAACTCTTCTTCTCAATTTACTTCATTCTTCTTCATTTGAAGTTACTGTTTCTTCCTAAATTGTTTTTAGTGCATGTGTTTGTGATACTCCTTTCAGTTCCCTCCCCCAACCCCAGGGAGTTAATGATTAGAAAGCAAACCACTTCACCTATATGCATTGAAGAAGATATATAAAACTGGTTATATACAAGACATGCATATTGTTTTTTTTTTTTTTTTGCCCCTTTTAACCCCATCATTGGCTATCCAGTTACTAAAGTGGTTTAAATCAACACCTAGAAACTTCGAAAAACACCTTAACCACTATTGTGGAAGAGTTTCTCTCCTTAAAGGATGTGTAACTATGTAGACATCCTTACTCTTACCGTCCTTGTAAAGAGCTGACTTTGTTCTTCATTATAGGATAAAGTCAAGGATGTCATTTTTCTCTTCCCCCTTACCTCAATTAAGGATAAGGCGACTTAGGTAACAAATCGGTGCATTATGGCGCTTTGCCAAGCAAGGAGTGTCAAGCACAGAGCAAAAAGAAACCAAATTTAATATCATGAGTGTATGTTACCCCTTATCTCCTCATCTTCAGTATGCATTTGTGCCACTTCATTCTTTTTTGTTGTAACAACTACCAACCCCGAACTCTTGCCCTAGTGGCATGGAGAGCACTCTCTCAACCACTATGAACAAGATTTGCCGGTTTTGTGCCACTTAATTCTTTTCTGATTCTTCTTGCTATGTTAATGTTTCTGTACTTGGATTTTCTTTCATTTGATTGGGTTTGATCAATATGTAAGGAGATGGCGGAAGAGAAAAAGTAATAAAAAGAAATGGAGCAGCGAGAACATAACATACAACAAAACCTATGTTTTGAATTGAACTGCAGCAAGGACATCCAGTTATATAGAATATTTGTTGAGAGATGAAACGGATAACAAACCTACCTCTTTTACTATTCCTCATCTATTTCTTACCCTAGACTTTTATCAAGTACTAGTGCTTTACATGGTGTGTCATGTCTTTCTTCTGTCACTTAAACATCAATCACTTTTCCATCGAAGGTTAAACAGCCTGACAACTTTCCTCATCCCCTCCATCCACCTACCTCACTAGGCAGCATCACCATGCAATTAAATTTAATTTTTTAATCACAGATTTCTTAAACGAAGGAAACTGGGGCGACCAAAGAAGAAGAAGAACATCCATGAAGGAACTAAAGAATCTTAGCACAAAGCAAAAAGCAGTAGGAAAACAGAGGATTAGATTTAACCAATCCCAAACTTAAATGTTCCTCAATAATTGTTAAATTTAACAAAAACGGAGAACATTTTGTGCTAGTTAAAAGATATAACACTCTTTTTAGTCATAACTACATCCTCATCCTTTATAAATTTAAAAAAGGAAGAAACAATTTTGTTCAGTGAAGGAAAACAGAAAAAAGAACTAATCTTTCCCCTTTGTCAGATCCACAGGAATGAAGAACTACCTGGAGGAGGCGCTGCAGGTCAAGATGCATCTTTGGAAATCTTCTATCGTCCAGCAATTGTTTCTTCAAAGCAAAACCACCTGCAGCCAAAGCAGAAAAAAATCACCATCCTTGATTTGAGGATGGAGAGTCTTTATGCTATCCCTCAAAATGTAATTCAGGAAATCTTCTTTATCTTTTTAGTATTACTAAATAGTTATTATTCTAGTCTGCTGACCCAAAAGTAAAGGCCGACTAAAGAGATGTCTATTTTGATCTTTGAGTTTATGTACTCCTACTACGCATATGAATGTGCATGTAGCCTGCAAATAGAATTAGTATGAGGGTTTAAGCTTGAAACAAGGATTCCTTCAACAAGTAAAACATGACCTGTCCATCAAACTGTATCATTAATCATGAGGACTGCCATCACGAATTGACCATGTTGTCAGGTTGCAAACATTCCATGAACCTTATGTGATGGAATGTATTTTCCATCTCCAAAACCAGAACGAAATGATTATTTAATATTACATAATAGGAAACACAAAGTCACAACAATTGATTTCCCAGTTTAACATTTGTAAGAAAAATATACCTTTGTCCAATTCCAGCTCCATTGAATCCAACTCAATCTCCAGCTTCGTCACAACATCTTGAAGGTGATCCACATGAGTGTCTATGATGTGAACAACCAGATTTGAAAGAGATTTAGGTACAGGATTATCAGCTTCTTCGGAATGATTCATCATCAACAGAAAATCAAGAACATGCTCCCTGATAACAGTCCCACCCCTTTCCTTCAACTCAACACCACCAGAACTTGGACTTTCCACAATTGGAACCTCTGAGAGAAGAGACTCATTCACTGGGGAGAAACCCAATCTTGGAACACGGCCTAGTGACACCGTGATCACAGAATTCTCGGTAACTCTTGCCGCAATTCTAAATGTAAATTTACTGGATGCAGGGCCAGGTGAATTAACTCGAAACACAAGAGCCCCGTCAACATGCCCACAAAAAGGTCCATTGCTAACAAGTGACAAAATGTCTTGGAGCTTCAGAGGGGGACAGAGTACATCAATAAGATACTGTGCAGATTGTGAGAGTCTCTGGTTCCACTTTGGTAGCTCAGCGTGGTACCAACAGAATTCCTTGCCTCTACCCTCTGTTAAATCCCATTCCTTATTAAAATAATTCCCTTCTCCGTCAAAAATATAAGCTTTTTGCCTCACAGCACCAGAAAAACGTGAGTTATGGTAAGAGATGTCCCTAATACGTGCTCGTGAGGTCGGTTCTCTATCCATTTCCTCTTCTTCTCCCTCTCCCTCTACATTTTGATCTTCGCGACTAAGTTCCATCACTCCTTAGCCAACTTTTAAATCCAAAAAATAATAAAGTAACCCTCAATAACCTAAAGACTATTTCAATATGGATATCTACTTAAATTCCCAGATATTTCCCACTTTTATATATTCCCCATAAACAAATTTCGGGCACAAAGAACTAAACCAACAATAATGACCCAAATCAAGATAGACAGAAATGTAGAGAATTCATGGAAACAACATTATCAGCATTTCCCCCAAAAAAGTAGGCTAAGCGCATTCACATTTTCCCTTCAAGGAATTCATGCTCATAATAATTCGATCTCATCACATGCTAACTAATAAGAATAAGCACATTTCAAAGACACGCGGATTAACAGAATTAAAACCCCACTAAAACATATTCAAAGACCAGCAAAAATATAAATCTGTTCCCTGCCAACCGCGAAGAGAGCAACAATGGAATAACAACAAACAACACAAGACAACTCAACTACGCCTAAGTTCAAACTAATTGGAGTCGGCAATATTCATTCCGCTCCATTTTGACCCGTTTCATGCCAATACAAACAAGCGAGAAAATGATGATGCAAATCGAGAACTTTTTCACCCGAAAAAACACACCTGTTTGGAAATGATTTCTGTAGGATTCCTTCTCACAAGCAATCAGGAAATGAAAGGAAAAAAAAATTAGCGGAGAAAACAAGAAAGGATCAATTGCTCAGATCAATAGCTTTTCAACATGTTGGGAAGTTTCTTCGAAGGTTCTTGTTCTTCAGTTGAATTTGTTTATCTTTTTAACATTGTTTTTGTTTATTTTAATTTTAAAGAAAAAGTCTGGTCCACTAAGTAAAGACTCGTCGCACTTCCGCTCATGTTCCGTTTGTTTGTTATTTCTATAAGAGACATCCGAAAATGTTTGTTCTCACTCAACGGTGACATTCAATATGCCTTACATTATTAAACCAGAAAAAGGTAAGTAAAGGGATAAAAAGGAATACCGCATTTCTGGCGAGTGTTCTATAAACCCCTAAAGTTTCTGCATTTATTTTAATTTGGGAATCGATAATAAATGCTAGTCCGATAAACACGTAATTGTTTAATTGGCTGAAGTATGCAAACTATTGAGGAATCTCTAGATAAAAAGGATAATTTGATATTTATATATCATAATTAATAAACCGGGAAAATTTTCAAAATTTGGTCGTAGACTTTGCGAAATGGTTAAAATTTGCCTTCTGTTATAAATAGAATTTTATTTATGGTGAATGTCTATATTTAGACAGATTCTAGCGTTTATTACTTGGTGGCTAAAGTCACTCTCTCCGTATAAATAGAGGGTTATATTCCATTGTAATTCATCCCAAATCAATAAGAATTCTCTCTCCCTACTTTTCTCTGCAATACTCTTCTTCTTCTATTGTTTCATAATACGTTATCAGCACGAGACTCTAACCAATTGAGTAGAAGCTTTGGGATTGAGCATAATGATTGTCAATTGTTCCATGAACTTCCTTCATGATTAAATTCTGGATTTAAGGTAAGTATCTTACTTTATTTTTCTCTTTTAAATTCTTGAAATTCTATAATTTGATTTTATATACAAGCAAAGACAACAAAGTTTGATTATAACTCTAATGGAGTTTGTAAGAAATTATAACCACCTGAAGTGGTAAAAGTTTCTATGTCTTGCCATGATCAAATTCTTGTATGATTATGAGCACAAGAAGTGGAAACCCGTCCCATTAAATTTGCTCCATTCTCATTCCCTTAAGAGAATGTGATAGCAATATGCAATAAGTCTGAAAGAAGACAAAATTATTACCATAAAGGTATCAATGGATGTGGACGTGGTAATAGACGAAATTATAATCGTCATTATCGTGGTAATGAGAATAATAAGGATTCTCAAAATAAGCCTTCACTCTATGAAGTTAATGTTTGTCATCGATTTGACATAAGAATTCGTAAAGCACATACAGATGACTATGGTCCATTCATGATATGAATGTGAAAACATCTGATTTATGAATACATATTCATTTTTGGAAGAATATGAATGTGCTACTGTGGTAGTGAATATACCACACTCACCTCTAAAGGAGGTTTGAGATGATATAAGAAAACAATCTCGTTATTATGGCATGAATGGTCATTGGTCACGAACCTATTGTACGCCAAAATATTTTGGTAATGTGATTATTAAAGAATAACATTAATGCAAGAAACATATCTTGCATATAATTTTGACCCTGACTATAATGGTATAACTTTCTCTTTAAAAGAGATATTCACCATATGGATGTTGATAAATATGTGGTACTACAAAATTAATTGAGAACTCTGCAAGAGCCAATTATACTATTTTGGAGAAACACAATTGATTACCAATAAGGTATTGTGTTGTAGTAAGTCTCAAAGAAACTTATTCAGTTTTTAAAGTATTCGCGAAAGCGGTTGGTCATACTGAGACTATAAATAAAGGAAAGATTTAATATCTTCTATTACTACAACTTGTAGCGGGGTAATATGTATGTGAAAAGCTACCCGCTTTATTCTCCAGTTTGTACTACACAAATAAAAGAATACCACAATAAAGTGAATGTTTATTGATATAAAAACTCATATCATAATAAACTTGGAGTTTATTGATAATTGCACACTTCATGGTGTAAATCTGAAGTTTATCAATATTGATAATTTATTCAGTTGGCATAATTGGTTTACCCATATCAATTTAAGTATGATGTGCAAAAATAAAAGAGAATTCACATGGGTAAATATTAAAGAACTAGAAAGCTCTTTACGAATTCTCTTATGTTGGTTGTTTTCATTAATTAATATACCAACTAAAATTGGGATTGAATCCCATGAATGGTGGAAATATCAAAGGTGAATATGGGCCCATTCACCTGCCTTGTATACCACATAAGATGCATATATGAGATGGTTACACGTGCGATTATTAATAACCCGCAATATGGTGTTTGCGAGGTAACTTGCTCAATAATTTAATTTCGAGCATAATTTCCAGATTTTCTATTCAAGATAGTTTATCTTGATAAGTTGGTTTACATCACAGTTGGTTTAGCAAACTGATTTATTGAGTGCCTCCACTTAATAGCTAAACTATTGCTTATGAGAACAAAGTTATCTATATCAGTTTGATATAGGTTATATACGAAAGTATATTATTTTCTCCCCTCACAAGTGGTTCAGGGTCAGGAACCAAATAATTTCATCTTTTTATTATTGATGTGCGGTGTATATTTTGATTAACACCATAACGCACAAAGGTGGATTCTTAAAGTTGAGGTAACAAGTTAGTTTTTCTAACATGAGGGGGAGACATGATAAACAGTTGAGAAAAAGTTACGTGGAATGAATTATCTTTTGTACATCTAGATCCTCGAATAAGATAATATGAACTTGAAGTTCATAAAAGGATAATTCATTTGCAATATATTGTAGTGCATGCCAGACGCATTTGCTGGCCCAAAGAAAGTAACTATATCTCACTGCAAGTGCTCCTATTAGAATAAGTCCTAGAAGGATAAAGTCTATGGTACGCTTAAAGCGTATAGACAAATCGGTTTCAAATAAACTTCTTGATAAAGAAGATGAGCAAATGATCAAAATGATCATAATAAAGGAGGCAAGTGATCTAGAAGATCACATGACATAACACTTCATAAAATCTCATGAGAGATTCAGGTACCTGAATATATGAATGAAGAGATCTCTATGTTATATCTTTATAAAAAATAAGGAGGTTGGAACCGATATAAAATGTTTGTCGACGACATCTATAATAGCGCTAAATATATATGAGGTTCTTAAGTCTGGAGTAACAATTCAAGTAGAATTTGATTTCATATGAAAGACATGTAGTTTTGGACCTGCAGTTCAAACACTTGAAAGTATAAAGTCAATGATATGTGCAATTGGTTTTCGATATCATATATGTCTAGCATGACATGAAAACTTGATATGCATCTAAAGTCTATTATATGGCTTATATAACTTAACAATCCCTGAAGGATTTAAATTGCTTAAAGCATATAGAATTCATGGTCATGAAGTACTACATCCTCAGTGCAATTTGTGCACAAATGTATCTTGCTATAATTATATACATGATAATATGATAGCAAGAGTTTTCACCTCTATGTGAAGATATTGAACTGACGATTCCAACAAGATCATATGAAGACAATTCATCTCTATCAAGAATGATGATTTCAAGGTGCAATATATTCATTCAAGTTAATATGGCTGATTTGTTCACAAAATCTCTACCAACGTCAACCTTCAAGAAGCTAGTGTACAAGATCGGGATGCGAAGGCTCAAGGATGTGAATTGATGCTTTCATCAGGGGGAGTTAATGCGCGTTGCACTCTTTTTCCCTTACAAGGTTTTGTCCCACTGGGTTTTCCTTGAAAGGTTTTTAACGAGGCAACCAAAAGGCATATTATTAGATATGTGTACTCTTTTTCCTTTTCTAGAATTTTTTTCTCGCTGGGTTTTATTTTAGTTAAGGTTTTAATGAGGCACATTATCGGTTGAATAGACATTCAGGGGGAGTGTTATAAATAGAAATTTATTTATGATGAATGTCTATATTTAGAGAGATTCTAGGGTTTATTACTTGGTGGCTAAGTCACTCTCTCCCTATAAATAGAGGGTTCTATTCCATTGTAATTCATCCCAAATCAATAAGAATTCTCTCTCCCTACTTTTCTCTGCAATATTGCTCTTACATGTTATTGTTTTATAACACCTTCAATAAATATTTACTTGGGATCAAATATATTCTGATGTTACAAAAATGGTCCAAATATGTCCTTATTCACTAACAGCGAAAGCTTTACAACATATGCGTCAAATTTGCACCTGAACTACGCGAAATGGTTCAGATTTACCCCTGAACTTTTAACAAGATGGTCATTGTTTTGGCAGCTATAGACATTTAAAATTTATTGGATTTTGTTTACCCTCAAAATCGGGTAACAATTGAATTTATAAGTGGTTTTAAGGATACATGGACTAATTTGATACAAAGCGATATATTGAATTATAAATAAAGCAAACAATAATAAAGAAACTTCAAACCGTGTGACTTGAACAGTTATAGCCTTGGGAAATGGGTCTCACTCGAACTGAATGTGATTCAAATAATGTCAAATACAGAAGAACAGTAGCTTGCAGAAAGAAAATAATATTATAAATGCTTTGGGATGCGTATTACAATATGTCTTACAAAAAATCAGACCCCCTTTATATAGTAGGGGAGTCCTGCTTTTGGTACAATCCTATAAAAGATAAAAAAAATCTCATGCTTTGCTAATTAACCGGCTTCTCATTGATACATACCGAGATTCCCGCCGTGATATCCGACCGGTTACGGATATTTCGGCCTTCCGTTATCTGGTCCGAAAATGTTACCTCGGGCTCGTTCAGAATCGGGATCGATTCCGGGGTCACGGACTCGGTAACCTCGAAGACAGGTTTTCTAACCTCGTATCTGGCTCGATGGAACCCGGGGTCGATCTTCAATTCATTATATTTTAATCACAATCTGTCATGCAATAGATGAGTCCGATTTCGACTGTATACAGATAGTCTCCTCGTTTTTCGGAGTGTAAACGACGAGAAACGATATGAGCCCTCGATCCTCATCTAGATACTTTGTGTCAGAAATGACAAAATAGATGAAACATCTCATCAGTCACGCCTTGATGGCATTTAATGTTCGTTAGTTGTTGGTCGGCCACTACAGGCTTTTGAACCATCGTTCGAAAACTATAAATATTTCCTCCTTCATTCA